TTCTTACCTTCTTTAATATTAATCAAGATTTTTCTCCTGTTTTCTAGTGATACAGTACTCTTAATGGTTACTCTGTGGTTTATAATATATACAGCCTATTTTGAATTTATACCATAACATATCACATACCAATGTAAGAACCTTGAGAGTTTTTACTGCCTCCCTATACTTTGTATTTTTCTTATACATATATGCCTACATCTTATAAACCCAACAGCTCTTCTTTTTTCTTTAAACAATTTCCTTTTCTTACATAAATTTTAATTTAGTATCTTATCATTTCCTTTATTACCTGAAGAAATTCATTTAACATTTCTTATATTATATATAGATCTGTAGGTTAAACATTCTCTTAACTGAGGATGTTTTTGTTGTTTGAAAGATATTTTCTCTGGATAGGAAATTCAAGGCTGAGAATTTTTTCTCTCTACATTATAATAGACTGATTGATGAACATATCAACTGAAATTCTATGCAGTTTCTCAGCTTTGTTTTCCCTCTGTGTTTCAATTTGATTCTTTGCTAGTTCTGTCTTCAAATTCACCAATCTCATCTCCCATAGTTTCTAATCTGTTTTATTAGAAAATCTATTAAATGATTTTTTTTATCTGTGTAAGTTCCATCTTCCTTTTTCCATCATGTTTTCATTATATTATCCTTTAAATCTTTGTGCATATTTACAATAGCCGTTTCAAGGTCCTTACCTGCTAATTCCATCATGCATGTCATTGTTGTGTGGTTCCAGTGGTGATTTTTTCTTCTCTTGATTATTAATATCATTTTCCTATTTTGCCTGATAATAATTTTTGTTCCATATTGCACATTGTGGATGCTGTGTTGTTGACTGTCTAGATTTTGTTGTCTTCCTTTGAAACATAAATTTTCTCTGGTAATTAGTGGTTTTACTTAGATATCAGCTTGATATTTTAAAGTCTGACTTTTTGAGCTGGTTAGCCTAGGTCTAGAATAGTCCTTATTACTAGGGTTAAAGTCTCCTTCTATGGCATGGACTTTCTGGATCTCATCTGAATAGTCAAAGCATTCAGCAAGCTCTCTCTTTGGCAGGTGGGAGTTCAGACACCTCACCTTGTGTGACCTCTGAATCCTCATTCATCTCACTGCCCCTCAGTAGCTGTTTGCTGCCAGGCTTTGCAGACTCCTTCTGCACAAATCAGTTTGGCATCCAGCCAGAGACTTTAAGGGGCCCATCTGTACATTCCTGGAGTTCTTTTATTATATGATTCCCTCTTCTTTGTTATTCTACCCTGCAAATTCCAGCCACCACAGAAGCCCTGAACGCCGATAATGTCTCCTCAGTTCAACAGGATTGCAGTGTTTCCTTTGGGCTCCACCTCTGTACCGTGGCCCAGAGGTGTCTCCAGGCAGAGAGCTGGAGTGACCAGGGGCACACGGCAGGTCTTCCTTCACGAACCACAGTCCTGATCCACCTACTGTTCAAGGTCTGAAAATTTGTTTCATGTATTATCCCCAGCTTTACAGTTGAATATGGGGGAGGACTGGTCTTACACCAGCTATTTCATCATGGCCAGAGTGTAAAGTCTCCAACTCTCTCTCAGATTCAAATCCACAAAGTTTCCCACGTTCGACTTACCTTGCATCATGTCTCCCGTCTGTTCCCACTTTGGCCTTCGAACACACTATTCCCATTTACCCTGAATGCATAACCCCTCACCCTACCACCTAGTAAATTTTTAGGAACACCCCTTGGTTTCTCATCCTCTCAGCTTCATGCTTACTTATTTCCAATCCTTATATTGGAGCATTTGGATCCTGTATTTTGTGAATTCAGGCAAATTCTCAGTTTTTATAGAAAGAGGAAATCATAGACCCCTCATATTTAATCTTTGTTGTTTAATATCAAATGGGTTTCTTACAAGGACAGTCTGCCAGTCTCTCTGAAAATCTTCCCTTTTTGGTGAAAGCCTAAGTAGGAATTCCAGCCCAAAAACATTCCACCTAAGGTCAACAGATGGAACAAACTATTGAGGGTACTGAATTAGGAGCCCAGAGGTTCATCCAGGATCAACCTGACCTGCTTTCCATTCCTAGAGCGGTGCCCATACTTCTCTGCACTTCTGTGCCCCCATCTGCCTTAGACCCTGGGGGCCCAAGGAAGATAATGTGTGAAGCAGCTTCTGGTGTCTTCCCTTGGGCATCCTGTCTTTGTGCTCTGCTTAAGTGGGTCTGAGTTTCACTTCCCTGGCCATTCTTTGACTTCCTGATACTAAGATATCTGTGGAGTGCTTCCTGTGTGCCAGGGAATGTGCCAGGCACTGAGTACATAGTTGTCCTATCTGGCAGAGTCTTGCCCTCATGCAGCATACAGGCCAACAGGGAAAGAGACGTTGACCTAAAGTTCGTATCCCACGTCATCATCAGTGTTGACCAATTCTTGGAAGGAAAAGGGACTGTAGAATAAATGACCAGGTGGGGTGTCAGGGAGAGCTGCCAGAGGAAGTGAGTTTAAGTGGAGAGATGTAGGACCAGCAGTGCATCCAGACAGAAATGGAAGGGAAGAGCATTGAAGACAGGGAACAGCAACTACAGAAGCCATGCAGCTTCCACTGCTGCAGAATGTGACAGGTCCTGGCTGAGTGATTGGAGCTAGCAGGTGACCCCTGGGGCTTTTCTGTCATGTGCTTTATGGGTGTCCCTGAGTGTCCTTCGATAGGGAAGGGATGGGATGCTCGCACGTGGAATGCCAGGATCTCGGCAGCAGGAAATGTAGACTATGGAAGGGTCTGATCCACAGGCTTTTGTAGAAACCATTGTGCAATATAGAGGAAAAACCTAGGAGGGAAAGCAGCGTGCTCAGTGTTCCAGCAAGTCTCTGGTCCTTGTGCCCTGTCCTCAGGATGTGCAGGTCAGTGCAGTAGGACACTGCATGACCTTGACCAGACAACAGGTTGATCCATCCTGGCACCAACCCTTTGTGGCCAGAAATGCATGAACCATCTTGGCCTTGGCTTCCTTATCTCAAAACCACCATTAATGGCTGCTCACATTTGGAGACCAGTTTACCATTTAAGGTGCTTATGGATCCTCACAAAATCCTTGTGAGGTTGGTAGGTTTGATCAGTAGAGATAAAGTGAGAGGACTCAAGGCAAGAGAGGGAAGAGTCCTAGGCCATGGGACACAAAGGTCAGGAGCCCGGATGGAGAGGTGAGCGGACCGCTCTGTACACTTGATGCTGTTGCTAGTGCAATGAAGCACCAGCTGCCGTTCCCAACCTGAGCATCAGGGAGAAACCAGATGGTGCACCAGATGCCTGGTGGTCTATTCTGAGACTGAGAACAATGAAATTACGAGATGAGCCGCCCTGCTGATTGAGGCAGGGGTCTGGGAGGCTGAGGGGACACCGGGCACACCCTTCACCACGAGGATCTCTGCCATCCCTGGATGGAAAGGGAGACTCTGGAAAGTGGGCCTGGAGGGAGTGGGGGGCCCCTGTGTTCACAGACCAAGGCCTTGGGGATTCTCCCCAGGGCTCTGACAGTGGGCCAGGGCTTACTTAGGGGACCATCACTGCAGCTCCAGCCCTCTGGCACCTCTGTGTGGCTGGGTGACCCTCCAGAGGGCCAGGGCCACTGCCTGAGTCTCGCACTCACCTCCGTGGCCAGCTGGGAACTAAGCATGGCAGAGTCCCACTTCATGGGGCCGGCTCCTCATCTTTGCCGGGGCGGCAGCGAGGAGACTCAGGGGGCACCTTTTAGCTTCTTGGTTCTGAAAGCCATGGGCAGAGTACTGTATGATCAAGTGGATGCGGTCCTGGAAGTAGGGGCCACTCCTCCGTCCCCAGAAACACAGGAGCACTGGACCGTGCTGGGTGCTTGGCCAGACTCTGGTCCAGATGGTTCCTTTTAGGGTGGCTCCATTACTAAATCCTGTGGATTCTGTGAGTCCACCAAAGGGAGCCCTTTACTTGCGAAAAGGCCGCTGCCTCCTCCCTTCTTGTTCTGAACGTGGCAGTGTGGCCATGCCGGTCATCCTGGCCCAGGCTGTGTGAGAGACCCATTGCTGCCTGCCCAAGACCATGGGGGTGGAGACCACTTGAGTATCAGCGTGGGGTCTCAGGGAGTCCCACTTCTGCAGAGAACCCAGGTGAGGGAGGCAGGCGTCTGGGAAAGGCTGATGTGATGTCCCCGAGTGCCCCCAGCACCACTGCCCTTAGTCCAGTACAGTGTCATCTCCAGGCCGAGTCCCCCGAGAGCAACAGTTCCCTGCCACACCCAGGGGGCCCCTCGCAGCCTCACCCCCTAAAACCTCAGGGAGGCACTGGGTTCCTACACTTCCCCCTGCCCCCACCAGTCAACCCCAGTTATCTCTGCCTCTCTGCTTCCCGCTCTTACTTCCAAGCCCACCTACCTTGGAAGGAAAAGGAATTTAGAAGGAACTGTTCTAGAAAATGTAGTTAGACCTGGGTTGACTAATTCAGGTGTCCTAAGCGTGGGTCACAGGCCGGGTTCTTTGACACTCAGAACCTCGGCTGCGCTAGCATTAGGGGTGACCCACACAGTGGGCTGGTCAGGGGCCTCCAGTTAGCTGAGTGTCTCCCTTGAGGAGAAGTAGGGAACATTCTAGACTCCCGCTTTCTTGGGACAGGGTGGGAGCGAAAGCCTTGGCTCTCTGTGGACCCTAGGAGGTTTCACTCCTCGAGCATGGGGCTCTGGCCGCAGAGGCCACTCTCTGAGCAAACTCAAGAGGCCCGGGGGGACTGAGAGCGTGACCCTCTCAGGTACCGCCCCCGGGTGGGAGCCACCGGATGATCCAGACACGGGCTCTGAGTGTTCACATCCAGAGGTGTCCCCATCTCCACGCTTCGTGGCAGCGAAGACCCAGACGAACCAGTCGGGGAAAAAAGCTCCGGCCTCCGTGGTCCGATGTGCCACCCTCTTACACCGCACCCCTCCAGCCACCCAAACCCAGACGTTCCGCACTCCAAATTCAGGATCTCCAGCGAGCAAGGCGACCGCAGGTACCATGGCCTATGTACCCCGCACCTCCTCCCCTCCCTGCCCTTCTCCCCACCTGCCACAGCTGTGCCTGGGGTCCTTTTCCCTTGCGAGAGCGACAGTGGAGGTGGGGTGAAGTGTCTCAGCTCGGCCTCTGGCTGCCTGTGGCCGTGGCCAGCCGCCGGCCCTCTCTGAGCCAAGTTTTTCTTACCCTACATCAGAGGGTCATGCAAGATGGTTTGCAAACTATCTTTTCAACAGGAGAGCAGTTGTGTCCCCAAGTCTTGGCCCAAGAGGTTAAAACGGTTTTTTTTTTCCCTCCAATTCATTGCTAACATTTGAATGTCAGGAGATTTTATGTGAAACTTTCGCTTTCTAGCTGACTTTGCAAAGTCAACCCCGGGGCCTTAGACCCACGTTCCAGCCGTCTGGCAGGCAGCATTGATTTGGGGCTGGGTCACAGCTGCCGCCTTTCGTCGAGCAAGTGCTTCCGATTTTCCACAGACCCCACCACTCCGTCCTTCCTCCCCAGCACAGTGGCCACATGGCAGGTGTCCTTTCTCATCATGATCACACTGTTGTCCGTCTCACATTCAGCCCAGCTCATCCATTTACACCACCTGCCGGACCCTCTTGGCATGACTTTGCACCTTTCAGAAAACCCAGTCTGAAAGCTCATGTCTACAAAGAGCTGCTCTCCACGAAGCAGAGAGCTTGGGAGTTCTGCTCTCTCCACCTCCCGCTACCTCCTCTTACATGTGAAACCGCTCCATGGGCTATGCCCGGTGGGAAAGAAATGGCTGCCGAGTCTGGGGTTTGCTGAGTCTGTGAGGGAAAGGCCTCTGGCTTGAGATGGGTGAACAGGCACGAAATGTTCCTAGACAGCATTCCCCCCGGAAAGCTGCTAAGACATACTGCGCTGAGTACCAGCTATGAGGAGTCCTCACAGCGCTGAATGGAAAGAGCGGAGGCTGCCGGCCTGTACCTGTAGGTTGTAGGATAGGATGCTGTTGGGTTGGGACCCTGGGCCTTCCATTGACCTTTAGAGACACATTAGATTTCCCAGAAGGAAAATAATCACCCCTGAAGGTGATGGTTTTTAAGGTACTGTATTAAGAAAAGCCAGTCGCTGTTGTATTTTCGCAACAGGAGTCCTAAGTTAGAAACAGACTGACCACCCTAGCTCGTCTCTGGTGGTTTCTGGCCCAGCTTCTACCCTCACCTTGTGGTTGAGGGTTTGTACAGGACCAGGTCCTGGAGAGAACTGCCTTTTGGTGGGCTGTGTTGGTGTGGCCCCAGTGAGCCCCAGGGCCTGCCTCTGGCTTTTTTGAGGGATTCACGCTTGCCCGGATCAGCCAGGCAGAGAGGAAGACAAGGTCATGAGCAGGAGCCTGTGTGTTAGAGCTGAAAGCCGCCAGCACCCTTGTCACTCTGCAACAGGCAGGTCTCCTGTGGTACTTCCAGTCCCACCTGCTGCATTTCAACCAGGGGTGCCCATGGCAGGGATCGGCAGTTGTGAAAGTTGGCATTGTCCGCTGGGCAACAGGGCACTAGAGTTAAGGACTAGCAAGCAACCTCATTGGACTGGGTTCTTCCAATACGTTCCCTGGCCTGCAGGGAACTCCCCCACAGGTAGGTCGCCCCCCTTGCACACACACAGGATTCAGATGGAGAAGGAATCATTTCCCGCTCCCAGCTGCTTTTATAAAAAGGAAGGGTCTTCCCCAGCGCACTCTCCTCTCCGTGCCAACTTAAGGGCGAGAAGCCAGCCCCAGCAAGGACACTGTCACTTTTCACCTGTAAAATGGGAAGAGCAGCATGGACTTCATAGAGCTGTTGGGAGGATTGAGGGAGGCCGTTGTCCTTTAAGAAGGGGACCAGGTGGGCGGCTCATTCCAAATCGGCTCCTTCCCAGACACCGTTCTCAGAGCAGCCAGCATCCCATGTGCCCCTAACTACTTGGGAAAACCAAGCCGTTTTCCAGCTCTGACATTCTGTGGGCAGGGTGGGGACTGAGTAGTGTTTTCTACCTGGGAGACCCCATCTCTGCATGCCAAGGTCCAGAAGGTACTTGGGATCCCTGACCAATCCTCACATGGTCTCACTCCTGCACTCACCTCCCCACATTCCCTCCTGGCCTCCCGTGACATGTGGCGCTGAATTCACATGCCACATTCTGCGGGGCCCAAGGCAGCAGAATCTGGCAGAGAACTACTGGAGGGGGGAAGGGCTGACTGACTTAGTGTTGCAAATGTGGCTCCCCAGTGGGCCCATTTGCCATATGCTCACTGGGCCAAGTTTTGTGCTCAGACAGCAGCCCCCCCCCACCCCCAGACCTCCACCCTTAATGGGCACCCACAGGGTCATCCTCTGGGTCTTGTATTAGGCACTCAGCTGAGCCTGAAGGGCCAGCAGGTGTGGTGTGAAGCCCCCCACGAGCTAGTTCCCACAGCCTAAAGCCTTGGTGCTCCCCAGCTCAGGGTGGGTGCCTGCCTCGGGCCACCTCTGACCTGCCCCTCCCTTCGGACAGTGCTGACCAGTCACCATCATTTTCCCTTGATCTCTCATCTCCCCACCCAGCAGAAAGCGCTTTCAGTCGGAGAGTAGAAGGCAAAGCACAAAACCACTTTGAAGAGACGAATAGCAGCTCCCAAAACTCCAGCGGTGAGTGAGCCCCGAGACAGCTGTCACGCGCCGGGCCTGCAGCTCTGCCTCCATCTGCTCCTGCCCGCGGGGCAGCGGGCGCTCTGTGGACTGGGGTCTTCACAGCACACGTGGGCATGACTGGGGGGCGGGGAGCCGGGGGCAGAGAGTTCAGAGCCAGGACCAGGCAGCCGTGGGAGGGCCTTTGCTTCCAAAGAGATTCCTCTGGCCTCAGCGGTCTAAGGGACTACGTGTCCCCAGTGAAGACAGGCCCTCCCCCTTCTCCAAAGCCTTCTATATCTGTTCAGATCTCCCCGAGGGTTGGGCCTGGGTCACTGTGTTTCCTAGAGCGGATGTCACCAGTCTTTCCAGGACAGAGCGCTGTGACCTGCGAGCCAGAGACCTGGTTCTTTCTATGTAAAGGCCACCACCAGGGTTTCCCTGAGGCTCCTGGCAGTGCTTTGGCGCCCCCTGGTGGCTTCACTGTGAGGACCTTGGCAGAGCCTTGAATTGAGAGTTTCCAAAGGCCACTGTCCCCAAACAGAAGCCCTCAAAGGCCACTGTCCCCAAACAGAAGCCCTCAAAGGCCACTGTCCCCAAGCAGACCCAGGACCAGCTGGCGGCCATGGTGGTCTGAGAAAGGCACAACAGGCCAGTCCACACCATGATGGGCCGTCAGAATGGGAAAGAGTTGATCCGTTGGTTACGTGCTTTCCTGCATAGTTGAAATTTAATTCACCAAATAGGTGTTGGCCTATGCCTGGCACCATGCCAGGCACTGCCTGGGTGCAGCTAGATGAGAAAAGTGGTCAGGAGCTTCATAAAACGTCCAGAAGCACAGACTTGAAGGTGGGGGCCTCTGCAGAACCCCCCCGGCTCCAGAATCAATATCCAGCTGAGGGTTGACCCCAGCTGCCCCTACAGGTGGGTCACTTACGTCTTCTCCAAGGCTCAGCCCGCAGCCAGTTCTCCGCCCGGGTCACACGCTCATGTGGTAGGGCTTTTTGGTGGTAGTTTTTTTTTTTTTTAGTTGTTTTTTAAGTAATCTAAGTGATTTGATGAGGAGTGCTTGGGGGACCCTGCAGAATGTGAACATGAGCCCTGCCACAAGCCTATCGATTTTCCAAGCTCTTCCATTTGCCCTCGTGAGCAATACAACCTGCACGGCCTCTCCACGACTTGGCTTGCCCAGAGCCACCAGGGCCGGGTAGAGAGAAGCACGGTGGTTGCGGGGAGCTGAGCCGGCACCCGCCGGCCACACCGTGGTCGTGCCCCCCCTTCCACCAGAGCTGTTACTCAGAACTGGGAGTGGCCGTGGGAAGTGCTGCCGCCTCCGGCAGCCGCCATTTATTGAGCGCTTACTCTGTGCCTTGCACGTGTTCGGAGCTGTGTGTGTCTGTCTCCATCCTCCCCGCGGCCCTTTGGGGTGCGTCTTGCTGTGAGTCAGCCCATCGTTAGATGCGGCTCACAGAGGCTGTGGCCCAGGTCCCAGCTGGTGAGTGGTGGAGCCAGGATTCCGGCCTAGTTTGTCGGGCAGCTGCCTCCTGCCTTGGAGGCTTGCCTGGCCCGGCCTCATAAGGGAGGAAGCATCGGGGAGCCCCAGTAAGCAGGCTGCCCTGGTGTTTGTTGCCAAGTGTTCCCACCCTGGCACCAGCGCCGGGAAGCAGCTGCCAGCTCCCTGTCCAAAATGGGCAACCACGTGGTACTTCCTCACTGACGCCCCGTGGACACGCTTTCTTAGAATAGAGGGTGCCCTCGAGATGACCCCAGCTGGCCTTGCCCTGCCCAGGACCCAGCCCCAGCCCGGGACACAAGTCTGGCTCTCAGATGCCCCCAGCGGGTGAGAGCGCCCTCTGGAGAAGAGAAATACTGACGGGCAGCTCAGAGCAGAGCGCCGGGAGAGACTTAGCTAAACTGTTTCTCTTTTGCAGAAACTGCAAGTCCCCTGATTTCCAATCCTTTCCCTCTCCTACAGAGTAAGTGACGGTCTCCAGGGGGGCTGGAGAGGGCAGGGCAGGGAGTGAACTCAGTCTGCTCTTCCTGGAGCAGCTGACCTGGGCCAGGGCAGACGGGGCCGCTGGAGGCAGAAGGAAGTTCCAGCCCTGGGGGAGGAGGAGTTTGGCCAGGGCCCAGCGGGGAAGTGCGCTGACCTTAGCAAGCGTGCTCCACTACTCCAACCCTGGGCGGCCTCAGCTACCTCTCCCAGCTCCCCTCAGCCAGCCTCCGCTTCTCTTCACTCTCTCCTCCTTGCACCCCTTCTTCCTTCCTCCCTTCCTCTCTGCCCCGTGCCAGGCCCCGACTTGAGTGCTGTGGTCAGCGGTCACGGGCACCAGCCTGCATTATCTCTTCCTCCACCCTCCTGCCCTGCCGCTCCCCACTTCCTTTCCTCCTCTCAGCCCCTGTTCCTCCAGCTCTTCTGTAGCCTTCTCTACCTTCGCCCCCCACCCTCAAGGTCCCACCGATTCTGCTGTCTTGTTTCCTCGCATCCTTCCATGTTTGCTCAGTGGACAGCGGCCCTCTGTGCTTCCATGACAGAGAAGAGGCTGCAGGACCAGATGCACCGCTGCCCCCAGACAGCTAGGTCCTTTGGTGGGGTCCTCTGTCCTCCGCACCCATCCCCAGTACCCAGAACACGCCTGGCATACAGTAAGCACTCAATAAATACCTGCCTCGTTGGCTCCGATGGCCTCTGTATCTACACAGCCCCTCTTCATTGCTCCCTCCTTGCTGCGGCCTCTCTCAACGTAGTTAGTGGTGGGGGTGCAGACAGCTCCGAGGGCGGAACCCCGGTGTGTGTTTGGGTTCCCGGTTCCCACGCTGCTCTGCAGACCTGCAGAGAATACCCGGGCGCGCTCGGCTCCTAACACGGCTGCTTCGTCTCTCCGCCAGAACCCTACACGTGTGGCGCCTGTGGGATCCAGTTCCAGTTCTACAACAACCTGCTGGAGCACATGCAGTCCCACGCAGGTGAGGGGCCGCGCCCACATCCCTGCCCCACCGGGCTTGCACCTGCAGGGAGCGATGCAGCAGGGGTCTGAGCATCTCAGAGCAGAGTCCTGCAAATGCTCGTCCCGCAAAGCACTGTCCTCGTTGAAGCATGCCTCAGAGCCACCAGGGAGGGTGCAGGCACAGATTTCAGGCCCCACCCTGTAGGCTTGTCATTTCTGGTAAGTCGTCTGGCCCTGCTCTTCTGCCAGCCGAGGGGTAGCCCTTCTGCTTGGACAACCTTTCTTCAGTGACTTTGCCGTCTTGCCGGCTCCGTTCCCAGCACCCTCAGCCTGTACCCCACCCCCTTCAAACACCTGCTCTGTTAGGTTTTGTCACAGTAGCACCTACTCTGGAAGGCCCGCGAAGAGAGTGCCCGCCAGCCCCAGTGGGGGTTGTCCTTACTCTTGTTACTCTTCTAGAACCTTCCAGGTCTGGCCTGACTACCATAGAGTTCACAAGGACGAGGCTATCTTTTAGGCTAGGCACTGTCCTGTTAGTGTGACTGCCCTTAGGCATCCATTTGCTCATTCGTTTATTCAGCAAGTATTTATTGGGTGTCTGCTGTGCTCTAGGGATTAATTCACCCCATCTTGGGCCTGGTGGGCCTGGGGTGGGGAAGGAGTGTGGGCTGTAACTTTATTTTTTTAAAGGTTTATTTATGTATGCATGCAGAACCTGCAGAGGTGCAGGGTGGTGAGCGGCTTCACCAGAGACAGAGTGGGGAGCAGGACAGGCAGGTCAACAAAGTACACTGTTGAGGGGAGCAGCAGACGAGACAAGGGCAGTCTGCTACACCATGTGGGTCAGCTCCAGAGCGGGGGAACAAACTCACAACTGAAGCCGCTGCAGCTAGCTTGCAGTGCTGTGTCTTAACCTGTTGCGCCACCAGGGAGGGCCTTATAACTAGTTTCTAATTGACTCATTGAAGTCAGGAGAGTGCAGCACTGGCAGGCGAATTCCAGTCCTGAAGAAGGAAGGTGGTGCAGCCTGAAACAAGCACCCTCGAACCTGCACACTCCCCCTGCCCTCCTCACCCTAAGGTTCCAAGTCTCCCACCTCCCACTCACCCATGCCACACCCCCGTTACCTTTGAAGGCCTTGAAGGCTAGCTCTGGGCATTTAGGGTCAGTCATGTGGACAACCAGTGACAGCAGGCAGGGGGACGGCTGACGCGACAGGTGGACACCCCTACACTCCTCTTGGACCCAGGACAGTCCCCCTCAGGTACCTCCACCCCCCACCTGCCCTGCCAGCTTCTGGGAGCCCAAGGTAATTAGGTGGGGAGAGAGGTGCTTCCTGGTCCATCCGCCTGTGGGTGTAGGCCATTAAAATGCAAATCCAGCCAGTGAGGGCACTGTCTCCCCCAGCATGTCCACTTGTTTTCCTTTGGGCTGCTTTGTTCTGGTCCAGCGCTGGCAGAGAATGCTCGCCCGCGATCCAGTGCAAAGCCAGGCTGAATCCCAGCCAGGCTGAGTCGGGATTAAAGGATTGGCTCCATAGAGAGAAATTAAGCGTCATGATCTGCGCGGCTCCCAGCGCTGCTGATAAGGGGGCTCAGCCTCGAATAACACCGAGCTCATTAAGAGGCTGCTGAATGGCACAGGGTAATTCCCATTAATAAACTTCCTGCCTGTGCTGTAGGAAAGACGGTCTTGCCCCAGGACAGTTTTGGAGCGTGCTTTGGTGGCAGTAATCCGGAAGGTGGGCATGTGTGGCGAGCCCTCGTTCCGGGTCAGGCAGGGTTATTTCATCAAGTCTCCCCAAGAAGCCTGTCTGCTGTCTGACTCGTCCGTGTTACAGAGATGACGCAACAGAGGGACTGCTCCAAAGTCGCGCAGCTCGTGAAAGTATCTAACATCATTTGTGCTGCTAGGCAGAGTTTCACACGTATTAGCTGGACAGAACAGCGCTGGGAGTTAAGTTGCCCATATTAGCACCACTTGACAGATGCGGAAATTGAGGTTTGCTAGGAACCTGGGAGCTGGCCCCGGGCCCTGCATGGTCACCCAGCAACCCAGTTCTCACAGGGCCTCCAGAGCTGGCCCTCTGCATAACCACCCCATTCAGCCAGGTAGGCAGGCGGGGGTTAGTGGAGCCAACGTTGCTTCAGAGTCATTTCTTCCAGCCCCCCTTTAAATTACGATCCAGAGAACTGCACCTAAGAGTGACTGGGGACTTATCAGGTAGCAAATGTTTTGGCAGTGCAGTTTCAGGAATTCACCAGATGGTTAAATCTGTGGATAGAACCTTCTCCTCCCTGGGTTTATCGTTTCATCTTGAGCTGGGTCCCAGAGTGAAGGTGGAGGCCATGGTGTGCACTAAGATGGGACCCAGCAAAAAGGACCTCCCTTCTACCTCCCTGCAGGGATGAGTGCAGTCTCCTTGTGGTGTGGGCCCCTCATGGAGGACACCTGTAGTCTGGCTTTGTTTTCAGGCTGTGCACACATGAGTCTGTGTGTGTGTGTTTTGGGGTGGGGGCAGCACACTGAGTCAACCTCATTTTCAGCTCACGCTACAAATCAAGCCTCTTCACAGAATATTCAGGGCTCTTCAGCTTGTGGCTATTAGGAATGACCATGCTAAGAACATTCAGGTCAAGTCTGACCAATGCTAAGAACATTCAGGTCAAGTCCTGGTATGGACATGGTTTTTTGTTCCGGGTTGTAGACCCAGGAAAGGAAACGCCGACTCACTTACTCTGTCTCACCATTTTTGGAGCTGGTGGCTTGTGTCCTAAAGTAGCTGGACCATGTTTCCGTGCCCAGCAGTGTTGATTTCACAATCTTGACAGCACTTGTTGTTATGAGCCTTTGGGTTCTAGCCATCGGAAGGGATGGACTGGTGACCCATTGCTTTTCTGTCTATCTCCCAGATAGATAGGGATTATTTGCAAATATTTTCTCCCGTTTGTGTTGTGTTTTTCTTCCTTTGATGCTGAACTGTGAAGTACAGCAGGTTTTCATATGAGTGAAATCCATGGGGACGAAGTTCATGGTGTGTACTTAGGTGTCCTGAGGAGTCATGGCATGTCCCAAACTCTCGAAGACTTAGCTCTGTTTTCCTTGAAAGAGTTTTTAATTTTAACTCTATGAGTAGGTCTGTATTTATTTTGAATTAATTTTTGTACATGGTACAAGATAGGGTCCAACTTAATATTTTATACTTGGTTATCCAGTTGTCTCGGCACCATTTTTTGAAAAGAATCTTCTTTTCGCCATTGAATTTTCTAGCACCATTGTCAGAAGGCCATAAACATGAGGGTGTCTCTGGATTCTGTTCATTGATCTGCTTCATTGCCAGCAGTCACTATCTTCATGACTATCGCTTGTTATAGTTTTGAAAGCTCCAACTTTGTTCCTTTTCAGTATTTTTGTGGCTATTTTGGGTCTCTCGCATTTCTACATGAATTAGTATCAGCTCATTCATTTCTACCAAAAAGCCAAACAGGATTCTGGTAGGTGTTATGTTGAACCTAGATCATCTTGGGTATTATTGCCATTTTAGTAATGCTAAGTGTTCAGATCCATAAACATGAAATGTCTTTGCATTTAAATCCTTGAGTTCTTTCAGCATGTTTTTGGTTTTCAGTCTTGCATTTTGCAAGTGTCTTCCTAAGAACTTTGTTCTTTTGAAAGCAATCATGAGTGGCATTGTCTTCATAAATTAAATCTTGGAGTACTTACTGTTGTTTTATTTTTTGCATAGGATTGATCCTGTATTTCACAACCTTATTGAACTCATATTCTAGTTCTAAGAGTTTGTGGGTGTGTTCATAGAGTTTTTGTTATAGACACAATCATATCACCTGCCAAGAGAGATAATTTTACCCCTTCCATTATACTCAGGATGCCCTGTTTTTCTTATTTTACCCAATTACCCCAGGTAGAACCTTTAATACTTGTTGGATAGACAAGATGAAAGCGATCATTCTTGTCTAGTTCTTGACCGTAGACGTTAAGGGTAATTTTAGCTATGGGTTTTTCATAGTTTCCTTTTATCAGGTTCCCTCTGGTTCCTAGTTATTTGAGTGTTTTCATCATGCAAGGGTGTGTGGTTTTGTCAGGTAATTATGACCACGTGCATTTTGTCCTCTTTTCTGTTAATATGATAGGTTACATTGATTTCATATACTAAATCACCCGTATATTCCTGGATTAAATCCCACTTGGTTATGGAGCATAATTTGTTATATTTGTTGCTGGATTTCCTCTGCTCTAATTTATGAGGATATTTCTGTCAGTCTTTGTAAGGAAGAGCAGGCTATGGTTTCTTGTTATTTGTCTGTTTTGATATCAAAATAATATCTCATAAAATGAATTGGGAAATCATCTCTCCTGTTTATTAGTTCATGGTAGTTTATGTCTTTCTAAAAATTTGTCTATTTCATCTAATTTGTGGGAACTCTTGTTCCTGGCATTTCCTTATAATCTTTTTTATTTCTATCAGGTCAGGAGCCTGAAGGTTTTTTGAGATGCCCTTTATTAGGTTAAGGAAGTTTCCTTCTCTTCCTAGTTTACTGAGAGTTTGTATCTTGGGTAAGTGTTCAATTTTGCCACATTTTAATGTGCATTTATATCCATGGAGATGATTTTTCTTCTTTTTTTCCTTTAAGTATAGGGAGTTACACTGATTGGTTTTCTATAATTAACCCCAACTGGCATTTCTGGGATAAACTTCACTTAATCATGATGTATTCTTTTTATGTGTCACTATGTTTAGCTTGCTAAGATTTTATTATGGATTTTTACATGTGTGTTTATGAGGAATCTTGGTCTCTACTTTTTTTTTTCTTGTAATGTATTGCTTTGGCTTTGGAACAGAATACTAACCTCATAAACTGATTTGGGAGATATTCTTTCCTCTTCCATTTTCTGGAAGAATTTATATAGCATTTGTAGCATTTCCTCTTTAAACTGATGAAATTCACCAGTGAGTCCATAAGGAGATTTTTCCTTGTGAGAGGTTATTTCACTGTGAACTTAATTTCTTCAGTAGATATAAGACTATTTCAGGTTATTTATTCTGGGCTCACCTGTGCTGCTTTGGGGCTTTTCGGGCATTTGTTTGCCTCACTTAAGTGCTTAAATTTATTGGCATAAAGTTGTTAATCACTTTTAATCCTTTAACATCTGTGGAGTTAGAATGATATCCCCTTTTTCATTCTTGATAATTACACTCTGTATGCTGTTTTTAAAAAAAGATTTTCTGGCTAAAAGTTTATCCATTTTGTTGATTTTTTTTTCTCTCCCATAAAGAACCATCTGTTCATTTTGCTCATATCTTTCTATTATTATGTTTATTCATTTTTGCTTTCATCTGTGTCATTTCCTCTCTACTCCTGACTTTAGAATCAATGTCCTCTTCCTTTTTAGGTCTATTAAGGTGGAAACCTGTGATACTGATCATAAACTGTTCTTGTCTCATCTGACTATTCAGTACTGGGTAAAGCCCTGCTTTACCTGGAGCGCATACATTTTGAAATGTCACCATTATGTTTTCATTTAATTCAAAACATTTTCTAATTTCCCTCATGATTGTTCTTTTGTCCCTGAGTTATCTAGAAGTGTAATGTCTCCTACTCATAGTTGTAAGTTACCTCGATTATCTTTTTTGTTATTGACGTCTGTTTAGCTCAGCTATGGTCAGAACCATTCTTACATGTTTTCTCCCCCATGTCCTTTTTCTGTGAACCCAGTCATGTTTATTAGACTATATTATTATGTCCACTTCTGTGTTTACGTTCCATTTTCCTCCTCTTTTCTTTCAAAAACAATTTCTAAGAGACAGGAGCTCAAATCTCTACTGTAACTGAATTTCTGTTTTTCATTTCATTTCTCTCAGTGTTGGCTTTGATGTTCTGTTACCACATGCACACACATTGAGGATTACCATATATTCTTGGTCATTTGACCCCTTCCATCTATTTCACAAAAGAAAAAGGTGATTTCAGGGCCCTCTCTGGTGGCATAGCAGGCTAAAAGCACAGCACTAATGAAGTGACTCTCAGCCGCTGCAGCACGAGTTCAATCCCCGGCCAAGGAGGTGACCCACATGGTGCAGCAGACCTCTCCTGTCTCACCTGCTGCTCCCCTCAGCAGTGTATTGCAATAGGTCTACCAGTTCTGCTCCCCACTCTGCCTCTGGTGAATTCTCTCACCTCCCACACCTCTGGCCTGTACCCCAGTTCTTGTATGCATAAATAAATCTTAAAAAAAAAAAAAAAGAGAGATAAAGGTGATTTCAGTTGAAAAGAATGGAAGCCACTGCTAGCTCTGAAAAGTGTCGTTGACGCCTCACATCCTCAGCTGTGAATTCTTACCTTTAAGATATTGTATCAAGGAGCTAAACCCACAGGAACACCACCACCCCAGAAAGGCAAAGGAGCAGTATTCAAAGGTTAGACAAGCGGTTTCATGGCAGAGCAGTAATAACAGCAGCAGTGCAGCCCCCAAACTCAGGACTTGGAGTGTGGGTGATCCACCTGTGGCTCTTCATAGGCAGAGGTTTACGTGGCTGCCTGTGCTAACAGCATGTAACCCCCCCTAGTTCTACACAGGCTGATTCTAAAGGCAAGGAGTAGCCGTGAATACAGCTGACGAGGTGTGTGCCAGTAATGAAAAAATTGCATCTGTGCTGGTAAAATGTTAGGGAAATGCATGAACAAGGCCACTAGACTTGCGGCCACCGTCGTGATCTTACGCAAATCCATCCCTTTATCTGGACTTGTGTTTCCATGTCTCACATTCAGGCCAGAGAATTTCACAATACCAGTCATGTCAAACGTGGGTTTGGTTTTGTTTGCTGGATTAGAAGTCTTGTAAATATGCTAAAGAAAAGTTTTTAAAAATATGCTGTAGGGACTTCCTTGGTGGCGCAAGGGGTTAAAGTACAGCACTGTGAAGCTCTCCGCAGCCACGGCAGCAGGAGTTAGATCCCCAGCCAGGGAGCCGACCCACATGGTGTGGCAGACCTCTCCTGTCTTGCCCGCTGCTCCCCTCAGCTGCATCCTTCAGTTAGTCTGCCTGTTCTGCTCCCCACTCTGTCTCTGGTGAATCCTCTCACCCCCTGCACCTCTGGCCTGTGCCCCAGTTCTTATATGCACAAATAAATCAGTCTTTTTAAAAATATGCTTTAAAGAAACAAGGGTGCCACTTGGGGTCTCCCTGGCACTCTTCCCCCATTTCAGAGCGAGAACATTGTTGGGGGCGGGGGGACTCCCAGCCAGACACCACACCGCGGCCACCCCTCACCCAGAGAGCTTGTCTCCCTCCAGGCTTGTGCTCAGTCAGCTCTCTCCTGCCCGATTTCTTCCGAGTCCTTTCAGCAGATGGTTCCTTCTCTGTGCCGGCTTCATTTTTCTAAATGCTGGAAATGTGGCTTGGTGAGTTTAAGAGAGCTGTCTAAGGAGGAGCCAGGATTTGAACCCAGGCCTGAGTCCCTGAGAATGCTCTGTGCTCACGCCCATGCTCGAGCTCACCTCGTGTTTCCTCACGGACCAGCCTCTCGCGCTGCAGGGTCATGCCCTGTGCCCTTTTGTTTCCACAGCGGACAATGAGAACAACATCGCCTCCAACCAGTCTCGGTCACCGCCTGCTGTTGTGGAAGAGAAGTGGAAACCCCAGGCCCAGAGGAATAGTGCCAATAACAGTAGGTGTCTCCCCAGCCTCCGCCTGGGCCTTCAGGAGGCCTGCCCCACGCTCCTCCCGCCCCGCTGTCCGCTGCTGTCCCCAGACGGTGCCGTCCCTCCCAAGATGGCACCCGACCGTGAATGATGGTTTCCCAAGGACTCTCGCACCTAAAACTCTGTTCATGGGAATTCTGACCCCAGTGGGTGGGCAGCAGGAGGTGATCTATTTTGGGTCAAGTTGGTGTCAGAACCCAAACTGGAGTCCCCGCTCCACCATTGGTGCCCCCCCACTTTGCTGACATTGCCACCTCGTGTCTTTTGTACCCTAGTGGTTTCTGTCAGCGGCCGTTCCACACCGCCAACACCCCCAGCCTGTGTGCACGGTGAAATCTGTTCAAAGTTCCCACAGCGAGATGCTCAGAGTCTCAGGCTGCTGCCAGACCCAGGAGCGTGAGCGCCACGGTTAATCCTGTCTCTCTCTCTCTCTCTCTCTCTCTCTCTCTGTCCCCTGCCAGCCACAACCAGCAGCTTAACCCCCAACAGCATGATCCCCGAGAAGGAGCGGCAGAACATCGCAGAGCGGCTGCTGCGGGTCATGTGTGCCGACCTTGGTGCCCTGAGCGTGGTGAGCGGGAAGGAATTCCTCAAGCTGGCCCAGACATTGGTGGACAGCGGGGCCCGCTACGGGGCCTTCTCCGTCACTGAGATCCTGGGTAACTTCAACACGCTGGCGCTGAAACACTTGCCGCGCATGTACAACCAGGTGAAGGTGAAGGTGACGTGTGCCTTGGGCAGCAACGCCTGCCTGGGCATCGGCGTCACCTGCCACTCGCAGAGTGTCGGCCCCGACTCCTGCTACATCCTCACGGCCTACCAGGCGGAGGGCAACCACATCAAGAGCTACGTGCTGGGCGTGAAGGGGGCCGACATTCGTGACAGCGGCGACCTGGTGCACCACTGGGTGCAGAACGTGCTGTCGGAGTTCGTGATGTCAGAGATCAGGACCGTGTACGTGACGGACTGCCGGGTGAGCGCATCCGCCTTCTCCAAGGCCGGCATGTGCCTTCGCTGCTCAGCCTGTGCCTTGAACTCGGTGGTGCAGAGCGTGCTGAGCAAGCGGACGCTGCAGGCCCGCAGCATGCACGAGGTCATTGAGCTGCTCAATGTGTGCGAGGACCTGGCCGGCTCCACCGGCCTGGCCAAGGAGACCTTCGGGTCGCTGGAGGAGACCTCGCCGCCGCCCTGCTGGAATTCGGTCACGGACTCGCTGCTCCTGGTACATGAGCGCTACGAGCAGATTTGCGAGTTCTACAGCCGGGCCAAGAAGATGAACCTCATCCAGAGCCTCAACAAGCACCTGCTGAGCAACCTGGCGGCCATCCTGACGCCCGTGAAACAGGCCGTCATCGAGCTGAGCAACGAGAGCCAGCCCACGCTGCAGCTGGTCCTGCCCACCTACGTGCGGCTGGAGAAGCTGTTCACGGCCAAGGCCAATGACGCGGGCACCATCAGCAAGCTGTGCCACCTGTTCCTGGAGGCGCTCAAGGAGAACTTCAAGGTGCACCCGGCACATAAGGTGGCCATGATCCTGGACCCGCAGCAGAAGCTGCGGCCCGTGCCGCCCTACCAGCACGAGGAGATCATCGGCAAGGTGTGTGAGCTCATCAACGAGGTGAAGGAGTCCTGGACCGAGGAGGCCGACTTCGAGCCCACCGTCAAGAAGCCGCGCTCGGCCCCCGGCGAGAACGCCGCAGCTCAGGAGGACGATCGGCTGGGGAAGAACGAGGTATACGATTACCTGCAGGAGCCCCTCTTCCAGGCCACCCCCGATCTCTTCCAGTACTGGTCGTGCGTCACCCAAAAGCACACAAAACTCGCCAAGCTGGCCTTCTGGCTCCTAGCGGTTCCGGCCGTCGGGGCCAGGAGCGGTTGTGTAAATATGTGTGAACAAGCTCTTCTCATCAAAAGGAGGCGACTGCTCAGTCCAGAAGATATGAACAAACTCATGTTTCTGAAATCCAACATGCTTTAAGACTTGACTCAGAGCAAAGAGAAAAGAGAGAAAAAGGAAAAAATAAGAGACCACTAGGGAACAAAACACACAACACTGTCGCAAACAAAGAAAAAGGAATTTTAAGTTCTAAACACTGTGGACCTCATTATAAATGCCCCCTGGAAACTTAAGTGCTTTTTTTCGGTGTGTGTGTGTGCACGCGTGGGCACACCCCACGTGCACAGCCATGCCCGGACCCGCGGGCAGGGCTGTGGGGCGTCGGGCTTGGGCCACGGGTGTCGGGCACGCATGCACACACACGCTCCCCTGGTGCATGTCCACACGCCTGCGCGTGGGCGCGTGTGCATTAAACTGGGTGTGTCAGGAAAGCTGAGTGGGAAAGAGGGAAGACGCTTCACCTCCTTTTCTCCGAAGGGGGCTTTACAGACTCCTTTTTCAGGTGTGCAGATCGGTAGAAAGCTGATGTTGTAAAATGTTCAGGCAGCTGAGATCTGAAGTGACTTGACGCTCTCTGTCCTCCGCCCTCTGCTCCCCCTTTTTCCCTCACCCCTCCCCTGAAGTCCTCCTGACTGCCCTGCACCCGGCCCTCCCCGGCTGCTCTGCCATGGATTCTCCAAACTGCATCAGATGGACAGTTTCTGCACTGGACTTTATTCTCGTTCACCTTCAGGGCATTGAGCTGCTGCCTTCGTGCCGCCCTTCGGGGCCACAGGGCAGCCGCCTTAGAAACACACCTATCTATCTCCCCATATCAGGAAAGGAGACTTTAAGAATATAAAGCTGACATTTTGCTTTTTAATATAAGATAGAAGAAAAGGACACTTTTCAAAGACATATAGAGACTGTCTCCACTCCTTAACTTTTCCCCTAACATTTTAGCCGTTTTTACCTTTTTTTTTTTTAATCCCAAATTTGATTTAGACTCTGCTAGGAGGCACTGAATGTCAATAACTTATGTTTTGGAGGGTTGTTTTTTTTTTTTTTAATGTGCCCTATTTGTTCCTCAAGTCACACTGTAAACTAGTTCATCTCAGTGGCATATTCAGTATCCTAGGGTTTTTATAGCCTCTCCTGTACAGTCCAGTTTTCGTGTATTTGAACAGCCAAGACCGTGAACTTGGCTGTGCTGTTTGGAGACCAGGAGTGGGGTTGGACTCACAGGATTTATGGAGGTGGCAGCCAAGGGGAAGCATGTGGCTCAGGAGTTCTGAATGTAGGCGGACGCCCCCCTCCTGGCTGGCTGTGTCTGGTACTGCGAATGTCTGATTAATATACCCAGAGTGCATTACACTGCTCGCCACGTCACTGACGCCCAGCTCAGAGGGCTTCCTGAGTTGATCCGTGTTCACGCCCCCCCCTCACCTCAGAACCGTGAGCTCCCCTTCTTCTCCAGGGCTGTGGGGGTTCCAGTGGTCCCTTTGCCTGGGGCCCAGGAGCCCCCACAATATCCTCAGCCCTCCTTCTGGGACAGTCGTTGAGCACGGTGCCTTGTGGGCCAAATGATTGACGTTTTAAGAGTGGGGTGGCGATAGAACCTATTCAGCTTGACTGTGAAAGATATCCTTAGGTTTTTCTCTCCTGCTACCCCAACTGTGAGCAACTTGGGTTCTGACGCTTGGTCCAGATGCTAAGAGGGTGAACCTTTTCCCGCTTACAAGAGGTGGTTCCATCAGGGTCACTGCTCAACCCTCTCCCCACCTCTGAGTGGGAAAGAGCTGATGGTCCCTGTCCCCAAGGCTAAGTGATAGAGAAGGTCACGCCAAGGGGTTTCAGACTGAGAATGACCGGCATCGTGGAGAGCTATTTGTAAACACACATCCTGCCGCCCTGGGGTTGGCTGAGTTCACTCCATCTTTTCCTGGTAATAAAGCATTACTCAACTGTGAGATACCTCGACTTCAAGAAGCACTGTACAACAGTCCTCTCCCCTCTGGTCCATGCTGAAGAGTCAAGTTGGTGAAAAACTCAAGGATGTTTAGGGTCATGGACCAGAACACTCCCTGAGGACAATACCCATTTGCTCTGCCTCGTAAGCACGAAGCCAGCTTGCGCCTGCAAGTCTTGGACATACTGAAATGCATCAAGGTGGGCCATTTCAATTTCCTCTCCTGGAGAAGTTCTGCAGGTTTCCTCCAAAACATTCCCCATGGGGGTCATGCCATCAGAAGAGCCTCCATCTGCACTGGAGCTGGGGAGAAGAAAAATCTAGCCAGTCATCTAAAGTCTCTCCCTGCAGAATATGGGTGCATGAACAAACTTCAACCAGGCTGTTGGGGGCCTTCCAGAAGGTGGCTGGGGGCTGCTGCTAAGTGGCAGATACCTATAGCAGAAGGCCCCTGAGCCTGGCTGCTGAGGGAAGACCAGAGCTGGCCACTGGTCAGTGGGACGGAGCCCTGGAGCTCATCCTTCCTCTCTCCTTCTGCCAGAGCGGGGCTGGTGTTGCCACCTTCCTGGGCCAGTTCAAAAATAAGCATTTTCTTATTGCAAAGCCATTAGAGAGCAAGCCCAGACATGCATACAGAAGACTTGGCGTTCTTCTCTTTAAACTGGTGTGTGCTTCCCCGTACACTCCAGGTGAAAATTCCAGTAAGTCTTACTAAACACTAGGTATCCAGTCATACGTGTCCCTCCCTGTTCTGTTCTTCCCGCCTCAGTTCAGTCCTCTGCTCTGCAGGCGTATGTGGCTGCCTCACATCAAGAAACTGATGGCAGGTCACGTGCTTGGTCGCTCCAGTTCCCCAGAAGCTGGTGTCACCACCGGGAGAGGTGGCCCCAGCCCGCTTCTTCCCTCTGCTCTTGCAGGAAGCTCCCCCAGGGCAAATCCTGCAGTGAACAGCTTAATAAAACCCAAAGATCTCACCGGTCCAGCCACTGGCCCCCTATTCCAGCAATATCCACCTCATCCAAATTCTAGTTCAGCCAAAGGATTGCGAAATGCGCTTCCACGTCTGCCCCCGGCAGCACCTGGCATTGGCCTCCTTGCCCTGACCACGTCGCGGCTTTCCACCCCGGGCCTCTGGGAATGGGTGGGCCTGGAAGTTGGGTCATTCCTCCTGTGTTCTTGGCACCTGCCGACCTGGACACCACTAGCCTCAAGTCATGTGATTCCCCGGAGGGGAGACGCCCCTGCGTGCATGGTCGGAGGAAGTCAGCTTCACCACCAAAGCCCAAGCTCAGGGCGAGGCCAGTGCGGGCAGTCCTCTGATGCAGTGTTGGGGTCGGGCAGTCTGGGCTTCACCTGGAGCAGCAGTGCCACCCCAGTCTTGGTGGGCTGGTGCCTCACGCCGCCACCTTCTCGCTCCCAGGTGCCACGGTGCCTCCTCCCGCTGACAGCAGGAAACTGCAGTGCCCGTGCTGGGGGCTCACGGCACAGAAAGCTACCGCTGCTGCCATGGGCAAGGACACGGCCACCTCTGCTTGGCCAACCTCGTGCTCGGCATCATGGGATTGGTTTCAGGCTGGCCAAGGGTCTTGAGCTTCCCTGGTGAGGCGAGGACAGCCCAGCAACGCCGTGGAGAAGGGGTGCGGCTCCCGGAGTCTAGGAAGGATCCGTCACACCACATCTGAAGGTTGGCCAGTGTCCACTGCTTCCGTTTGCCTCTTTACCTCCTGCTCTTTCAAGAAACACCAGAAACGAACTGTGTGCGGCGTGCTTTCCACTGTGACGCCCAGCCCCTGCCTTCAGGAGACCCCTGCGTGTGCACGAGGCCGCCCGCCTCCTCTGGGACTGACCAGGCCCCTTGGGAAGTGGGCGCTAGAGATAAGCTGGGGGATAGCACACACCCTCTGGGGGCGGGGGGGGGGGTGCACGCTCCTAGGAAAGGCTTGACATGAAGCTGGGAAAAGGGAGACCGCCCAGAAGAGGAACAGTACCTGGACTTTTCATCACGACGGATGCAGAGGGGGAGAGAAGGTGTGCCGGTCAGGTGGGCAGCCTTCTCCTGTCCACTGAACTGGGTCAGTGGGACCAGTTCATAGCGTGGCCCTTGCCTTGGGGTCAGCGGCAGCACCCGTGACCCTGGGTGCCTCTGCGGGAGGTCTCCAGGAAGGCTGCACGGGACCCAGAGGCTCCGTGTGGAGACAGCAGGCTTGGGGCTCCTGCCTCAGCCCTGCCAGCCCCGCCCCCGCTCCCTGTATCCAGCTGGGCCAGGGGGAGCCTGGCAGCGTCCTGCTACCCCTCTTCACTGTGGCTAATGTTTGCTAGGCCAGTTATGGTGAACCAATGATACGGTGTTTTCCCGCTTACGTTTCCCCATTTCAGGGTTTTCTGGAGGATTGTTTTTGTCTCGTTTGGGTTTGAGGCTCGAGGTCGCTAGAGGTCTACCTTGGCCTGAAGGGGCCCTGTGGTTTTGGTGTGAAGAGCCGCCTGCCCCCTTTACTTAGGGGTGTCTCCACCGCCCCCTCTGGTGTCCTTTAAAGATTAGTCCTGACACAGAAGGCTTTGCTGGGTTGGCAGCTGGGCATCAGCGCCACGCCCCACGAGGGTCCCACTCACCCACCCACATGTCCCACCGGGCATCTCGACTCTTCGAACCAAAGTTCCTTAAAGGGGCACAGCCCAGCCTTGTCTGCAACCTCAGGAGCCTGGGATCCCCGTGCGCTGGGCAAAGTCCAGGCTGGCAGAGGCTGTGGGGTCTGAGACCAGCAGGAGGGAGCGGCCCCTCCACACCCAGGTGCCAGCCCATCTTCCCTGCAGACCCTCGGGGTTCCCCGGGCGGGAGCCAGCGGGTGGACTGGCCTGGGGCTGGGACTGTCCAGCCAGGAGTGGGGGGGCGCTCTGCAGGGCTGGAGACTCAGAGCTTCCCAGCAGCGCAGCCAGGGAGGGCCATTCCGATCCCAAGCATCAGGAAAGCATTTTGTACAACCACCCAAAGCAGAGATATTTTTTAAAAAGCGTAAATTATTTTCAGTTGCTTTCTGATCCTTTTTCTTTCCCCCATGACTTCGCATCGGTGATTATTTCACATCAGGTATATCTCGAGAAAGCCTTGGTGTCCCCTCCCTCCCACACCCCACTCAGTGACCACGTGCGTACACCCCATCCTTTCTCAGTAGTAAGACGTTCTAGGCAATACCATAGGCACAGCTGACTGTGTCTCTCTTCGAGTGCAAGAAACTCAAGTCATCTTTAAAAAATACAAAAAAAAATTTACAAAAAAACAAACACAAAAAAATATCTTTTTTAGGCCAGAGTTTTCTACAGGTATTAATGAATATTTTTCTTAATCCTTATAAGTTTTATGTGTTTAATATTTCTTAATACCGGTAGCATTAATTTATACTTTTGTAGCAACACAATATTTTTATAAACAGCCAGTGCTTGGCTCCAGTCTCCACGAGGGGTTTATACAGGGCCATCTTGGGTTCCTGCGTACCATGTACTGTATTTAAAAAAAGTTACCTAGTGTCACACCCTTGCTGTGTTAATTAACAAAAGACGTTGTCTGTGGTCTCCTGTGTCGTTGGTGTGGATCCAACAGCTCTCAAGGAGTCACTTTGCATGGGGGTTGAGTTGACGGTTCTTGTGATATGTAAACCCCCAACACCAAACTTGAGGGTTTATTTAGGGTTTTCTGTTTGTCCTCGGGTTTTGCGTTTCACTTTGTTTGGGTAACCGTTTCTCCATTGACAGCCCAAATCAGTTCCGTGGTGTTTAAAACTTTTACTGATGTCAAATGGAGAAAAGGAACAGAAAAGATTTTTACAAAGTAATAAAATTGAAAACTGAGCTGTTTAAATGTTGCTGTTTTTACCTGTCTGTCCTTGTCCAAAAGTGGGACATTCCCCGGGGAGAAGAGGAAGGTTCCACTTGGTTCCTTAAATCACCAAAAGACCCAGCCCAGAATTCAGCGCCCCTACCCCTAGAATTCTTGCAACATTATTTCCCAGTTGATGCCAAGGCAAAAAGACATCCTTTTAATGGTTAGAGAGGATCAGTTGCTTAAATGATTTCATGTCAGTGTTGTATTTATGGTTTTACAATAAAACAACCTTTAGGAAGACGGCGGTGTGTGGTGTTATTTCTGGGTTTGGGACGGGCTCTCAGGAACAGGGCACCCCCAGGCACCGGTGAGCAAAGATGGGCCCGAAGAGGCCATTGAGGCGCTCGGTCTACGGCCAGGGATGTTCTCACCTGTCTTTTGCTCACCACCTCCAGCGCTGGCCGCTCAGCCCTTGTTTAGTAAGCGAGCGAGGAACGTGCCTTGCTTGTCCTGTCTGTGGAGGGGTACGGATGTACTCCCCAACTCCGCAGAACCCTTTGCCTGGGGGCCTTGGCTGCTGTGTGATAAGACACGTGTGGTGTTGCTTTTTTCTAGAAACAGTGTCCATAGCTTTTGTCAAGTTTCTGATGGCTTCTGAGGAAGCTAAGAACTGGCGGGAGCTTTGCAATATTTCGGTCCAGGGCCTGGGTACGGCCCCCAGATCCGTGGCACAGCCCTGCCAGGCAGCTCCTGCTTGCTCAGCTCAATTCTCCAGACCTGGGCAGCGCTCCCTCACCAGCCCCTGGCCACTGACCCTCGCGTGCTGAGCCGGTCTCCCTGGACTAGGTGCCTTCGTGACGGTGTGGACCTGGTCGCCCACTCTCCGGAGCCTATGCCCGTCTCCACAGGCCCATGTCCAAGTTCCCCCTTGCCCAGCGGTCTTCTGAGCACCTCACAGCCTCTCCCCCCGGCCACGCTGGCACCCCCGACCACATGTGTGACGTGCTGTGCGCTTCCTTTATCTAAGGAAGCGGGTTTGTGACTTTGCCCAGAGCCCTGATGGCGTCTCTGACTACACACGGGAAGACCCAGCACCCTCCAAGGGGATGCTGCTGCTGTCTAACCCAGGAGTTTCCGTGGAATCTGCACCAAAAGCCAGGAGCTGCCTGGAGCTGCCTGTCGCTGAAAGGACCCTCCCCCTGCTCTGACACCACAGTGCAACAGACTGGGAGGTTCACAACCCAATGCCAGCCTGGGATTAAAAATAAAATATGTTCAGGATGTTTCTTTATGAAGCAATCATATCTATTTTGTAACAAGTGAGTGTGGCCAGTATCTTTAAGGGGAAAAGTGAGGTCAGACTGTTTACAATCAAGTGAGTCTCTGGGGCAGCCATTCTGCTGAGACTAATTCTGGCAGCTTCTGGGGTGAACATCACAGGGTTACAGATGTGCTTCAACCCCACACTACCCTGGAGTTGCGAAATCAGGACCCGGGGCGGGGGAGGGGCTTGGAGTGAAGGTTTTGGCCAGTGTGCCAGGCGTGGCTTCCCGACAGGCAGGAGTGCTGGTGTGAAGATGCAGGCCCCTGGCGGGTGGGACTAATTCAAGAGAATTGAACTTTATGTGGACACTCCGTTTTTAAATGGGGAGATTGGAACTGTAAACTGTAAACTTCTGAACAGAAGGACCGACCCACCAGCTGGCCAGGCACCAGACGCCCACGACCTCTGGTTTAGGCATTGATCCTCCAGCGTACTTCAGAACAGCCCTCTCCAGGAGGCCAGTGCAGAAGGGAGCAAGACACCAGGGTACTCTGGGCTTCGAGAGCTCTGGGCAGGAGAGTCACCTCTCCCCGCCGCTGCCTACCCACTTCTGCCCAAACCTGCCACGACCCCAAAGTCTCCAGGACAGTCCTTTGCTCTGCCCTGAGCTGCCCCACTGCCCCAAGTTCTGCAATTTGGGGTCCTGATGGGGAAGAGAGTCTTCAAGAGGCTTAAAGCTTTATGCTCCCAAATCCTTGCCTCTGGGTTCATCCCCTCAGCAAGAAATGTGTCGTCCGCCCCCCTCCCCCACTACTTCCTTCCTGATGATTCTCTTAAGCAATGGGCTAATATCCTAGAGGGACCCTTGACTGATTGCGCCTGCCCTTAGCCTCTGCTCCTCCCGTGGAGACGTTAGCCTCTGCTCCTCCCGTGGAGACGGGCTGGCGCTGCCTGGTGAGTTTTCTGCCTCAGGACACAGAGCTGGGGTTTCACCCCCAGCAGCAGCAACCATCAAGCTTTGATGAAAGGAACTAGCAAGGATGTTTATAAATTGGGTATTTGTGAACCCAGTGTCTGAATCAAAGGCTCCTGGAGTTGTGACCTTGGGCCGGGCGTCCCAGCCACCCTAGACAGCCAGCCGGGGCAGCCTCCTCAAGGAGGAGAAGCCAGCCCAGGCCCAGCACTGCTGGCCTGGTCCTGGACACAGTGTGAGGGTCGGTAATCATTCTCCTTCCAGGCAAAGGGTGCAAGTGAGGGCCCCAAGGAAGGCCCTTCAGAGGAAGAAATAACCTGAGGCTTGTTTGCTCCTGGCACTAGGCCTTGGGGAGGGTGGCTGTGGCCAGGGTGAGACATTGTGGGGGAGGGAGGAGCCCCACAGGATTAAGGATAGTGGAGTCACTTGAGGCCCCTCTGGGCTGTTTTCCCGGATCCTCCTGGACACACCGGGGCCCAATTATCCCCATTATCCCCAATTATCTCGTCTAAGTCCCGCCTCACCTGTGACCTCTCTCCTAGAGGCAGTTCCTGGCCTTTCTTGTGTAGTTTTATTAAAAGAAAACAACCCTACTTTATACTACCGTGGAGTGAATTGGATCGATGTGATTTGTTTCATAATCTGCAAGGCAACGTCATGTACTGAAGATAGTTCTAGTCCATTTCCTGTGCATATATTTTTCACTTCTAGGGAAAGCTGCGGTTACTCATGTCCCCACCCCAGCCTGCATTCCCCCCACCTCATTATCCTTATAATGACAATGAACAGTCAGGACTTGGCATCTCAGGAGTCAACAATTTGGCTTTAATTGAATCCAGCCACTTGGCCCAGAGCCTCCTGCCTCCCCGCAGCCTGTGAACGGGTTAGTTGGACACTCGCAGCAGCTCTTCATCCCCTGTGGACACAGAAAGGCTCAGAAAAAAGGTGTGAGGTCACCCCGGGCTCCGTGAGTGGGGGCTGGAGTGTCTCTCGAGGGGGGAAGGCAGCTTGTGCTGAGCTGGGCCCTGAGCCTCAGGCCAGAAACTTCTACTAGCTGAAGGACTTGATAGCGCCAAAGTGTATTCCACAGAATGAGCTGGATTTTTGCTTCTGATTTATTTTATGTGTTGCCAGTGGGGCGATCAAGTCCAGAAATCTCACATGACTGCAGTTCCCTGGAATGCTGGTACTGCTATTAGTATCACCATCTGTATTAATAACAGCTGCCACTGACCGAGAGCACTAGCACAGGAAGAAGGTACTTTGACCAACTGCCTAATGTGACCAGCCCAGATATGGCAGTGCCTGGTTCTGCCCTGCTCTTGGCCTGCCCTGGACAACCTTGGCCTGTGCCAGACCGGCCTCCCATCCCAGTAGGAGTGAGGCCTTGGGCGTGGCCTGTTTTACTTGGGAAACTGAGGCTCAGAGAGTAAGTAGATAGGCTAGTCACCGGGACTGGGGTCCAGCGCTCAGCTCTCCAGGCCCTCACCTCCTCCCTCTTCCTCCCGGGTCCCAGTGGCTCCTTGGCCCGGCCAGCTTCCCTCAGACCTCTTACCCAAGCCAGGGACCCCACAGTACTCTCTGCACTCCTTCTCTGAGTAGAACTTGTTGCCATTGCCAGCGCAGCCCCCGTAGATGAAATGGACGCACTTGCCCTGGGCAGCATCAAATGCCCAGAGCTGGATTGCAGCTTTGCAGGGGCCGGTGACGATGGGGAGACTGCAGGCAGCTGTGGAGGGGAGGAGGCATGCACTGTTATTGCTCACCAGAGACAGCACTCTGACCATTCCGGACACCTAACCCCATTCTCACAGATTGGGATGTTGGGGTCCACAAGGTAACCCCTACCCACATGTGTGATTCTGCCATCACTACCTATTCAATCGGCAGGTTAGGTTGCTTGGGAGGACAGAGTGGTGGGGGTGCAGCAGGGCAGAGGCGGGGAGCCCCACTCACCCACGGTCCGGCAGGTCTGCAGACACTCCTTCTCAGACACGAAGTTGTTACCATTACCCAGGCAGCCACCGTACTGGAAGGTCTCACAGGCCATGGACGTGCCGTTGTAGAAATACCTCTTGGTCAGCCCCAGGCAGGGACCCTCTGCACGATCCAGCTGGCAGGAGTCTGGGGAGGGGCAGCGGGGGGGCCCTCACTAAGGGCTCCCCGTGTGCCCGTCAACAGGCTGCCCTTAGTACCATCTCATTTAGGTTGATCTCTGTGCTAAAGGGAAGGGTGATCGCCTGATTTTCTAGATGAGGAAACTGAGATTCTGAGAGGTAAAGTGACTTGCTCAGGGTCACTGAGACTCAAATCACGTCTGTTGGACACCATAATCCATGCAAACTCCATTTAAACAAGCAGCGTTAGTGACCAATGTGTCCCCACATTGGTGTCTCCTGTCATATTATTAGCTGGTAAGGTCATCGGTACCCATGCTGGCCAGCCTGACCTCTTCACTGAGGCCCCACGCCCATGCTTTTGCTCTTAGTGTTCCTCACCCTAAAGTGTCTCCTCCATAAGCCCTACCTGGATGCCTGCACATGGCATAAGCTCCCCTTCATCCTTGAAGCCCCCCTTCACTCAACTCCCCATCCTCGGAGCTCCCCAAGCCTATCCACTAACCCTGCTTTTTGGGTCCACCAATTTTTCCCTTGACTGCCTCCCCTAAGAGACCAAAAGCTCCAGAAAGGCATAGGTGGTTTTTCTCCAGAGACCCCGTGCCGAACTGGGGGTTGGAGCAAGTCTTGAAGAGCTGGAGAGTGAGTGTTCCCGGACACTGTCAAACGCAAAAAGCTCGTGTTCTTCCAAAACAGCCCTGATAGTCCAGCAGGCTATTACCCCGGAGGAGGGAGACAAAGCCAGGAGGCCCCACGGAGATACACACAGGACAAGAACTCTTCATGGAGCCAGAGTTACTCATCTCGGGGACCATGGCCGATGCCCCTGGCTGCCCCCACAACCTCTGTTAGATTGCCGAGTACTTGGTTTGCTCTTCTAGGCTCGGTCCTTGACCTCAGCAGAAAAATAAGAGAAACTTCACGGTAGTGAGAGAAGACAGGACTAGCCAGCCGCAGACCCTTCCTCTCCAGAGTACACCCCAGGAATGAGAAAAGGTAAGTGGTCATTACCTTCTTTCTTGGTGAAGTCAGTCGCTAGTGGCCCAGCCCCTGATCCTCCGTCTTCCTCGGGAAGCACAGCCCGGCGGGCTCTCTAGGGGAAGAAGAGCAGTTGTTGCAAAGACTTGGCCACTATTGCTCATGGGAGCCCCCAGAATACATAAACCCCTAGGCTACATCAGGATGCAGACAGAGTGGTCACTAGACTGGCGAGTGGCTCTTTCCCTAACTATATCAACCCGGTTCCAGCTGGACATCACAGGGGAGATTTCTGGCTGGGAATGAAAATCAGAACCACTGGGTGTAAGAACACGCCCACATCCAACTTCCAGTTGAAATGTCCAGAGGAATATAGCAACGGAAATGAGAGCATTCCTTCCCAGAGTTGGAAACCAGAGAAGAGAAAATCCGCATGCTAGAAACTTGAAGGTCTTTCTACATGACAGAGTATGAGGAAGGGGTTGGCCAGAACATAGCTGCTCACAGAGAAAATGCTACAGAGTAGGGAGCAGGGAGCCTGAGGTGGACCCTAACACTCCTTGCTGTGGTGGTGGCCCTGCAGGGCAGGGCAGGCTGCTGAAAGGGCGTGGAGCTCAGGGCAGGACCCCAGGCATAGGAAGGGATGGCAGGGAAACCAAGGACCCCGGGCAGGCTTCCTGCCCACCAGCTAGGTCCGGAATCCAAACAAGTAAAATCTAAAACGATGGTAAACTTCAACTTTGCCCTTTTTTAAGATGCAACTGAAAGCTGTAATTAGCCCTCCTAGTGTCTGTCAGAATCCTTCCAAGCTGTTCACAGACAGGCCTTCCTCGAGGAAGGAAAAGAGACAAGTCATAGGGAGATGAAGAATGCAGCTGCTCAGGTGAATCAAATCGAAGAAATATCACACTGAACACAGGCAAGTGAGAAGCAGGAGAAAAATTATTTCATCCGTCCAGTTCAGCACTAACATCTTCAAAAATGTAGAAGCAAACAAACGATGTGTTAGCAGTGTTAATTCTCTGAAGGAATAAGAACAATGCTGTCTTTTTTCTGTTTTCCAGTATTTTTTTTCAATTTTCAAGGCTATGTTTCTAAATGTATGCATGCATCAATATGGATACACACATCAGCAGACTAAACTAGAATGTAATTTCTTAATAACTGGAGAAAAAAGTAAAGAAAGCTTAACTAGTCTGACAAAAGGCATGAAAATAAAATGGATGAGTGAAAAGCCCAAAAAGTCAACAGGCAATTTTCGAGGGAAGCAGCTGATCTGAGAGGCTACTCGTTTTCACCTTTGCTGGTCTTTTATTTATTTTTTTGAAGATTTATTTATTTATGCATACAAGAATTGGGGTGCAGGTCAGAGGTGTGCAGGGTGAGAGGGTTCACCAGAGACAGTGGGGAACAGAACAGACTGACTGAAACACACTGCTGAGGGGAGCAGCAGGCGAGACAGGAGAGGTCTGCTGTGTGCTGTGGGTCAGCTCCCTGGTGGGGGATCGATCTCATGCTGCTTTGGCCGCAGAGGACGGCCCGTGCTGTGCTTTAACCCTTTGTGCCACCAGGGAGGGCCCTGCTGGTCTTTTTATTTATTTGTTTGTTTGTTTTAAAGATTTATTTATTTATGCATACAAGAACTGGGGTGTAGGCCAGAGCGGGGTGAGAGGATTCACCAGAGACAGTGGGGAGCAGAACAAGCGGATGGACTGAAAGACACTGCCAAGGGGAGCAGCGGGCGAGACAGGAGAGGTCTGCTGCGCCATGTGGGTCACTCCCTGGCCGGGGATCAGACTTGAGCTCCAGAACCTGCAGAGGACCGCCTGCTGCTGCGTCTTACCCCCTTGCGCCACCTGCCGGTCTTTTTAAACAGAGATTTATTAACTTTATTTCCATGTATTGAATAGTGAGTATCATTATTTCCTTACTGAGTGTTGACTTGCTTTAAGTATTATGCTAAAGCTTGTGTAACTGAGTCACTGAGTTTTTGCCACAACACTGGAGTTGCAATTGCCCATTTAACAGATGAGGAAAGTGGGGTCCAGATGGGGCAACAAGAAGGCCAAACTAGCAGAGCCCAGACTGAGCCCAGATGGATCTGCCTTCAAAACCCAGGCCCATCCCTGCCCGCTGTCAGTTCCTCTCTGTGCCCTGTCCCCACCTCAGCAGGACCTAAGCAGAGGCAGCAAAAATCAAGTAGGCGGGGTGGGTGTGTGTATGGGGGGAGGTACCCACCGAAGGTGGAGTGTACTCTGCATCTTGCTCCCCGGGCACGCATTCACCTAGGTCCGAGGACAAGAGAGAAAGGTGAATAAGGGGAACAATGAGGGGGGACTGTAGACAGAGAGATAGTTTTGTTCTTGGCGACCGTCCACGCCTTAACCCACTTCAAGAAAGGTTCTGTGGCTCCCTTGGCTGGCGAAAGGCCATTCACTGGAAAAGTGGCAGCTTGCATCATTTGATGCATCATCTCTGCCCACCACCAGCAATTCGCCGGCACTGGCACAAGAGCAGCAATGACTAACACGTACTGAGCACTTATTAGACATCAGGTCCACCACTGTTAAATTTAGCAGCTTTATCTCACTGACTCCTCCCTGCAACTAACAAAGGGGGCATTATCATCTCTAGTTCACGGACGGAAAATGAGGCTCTGAGCGGATGACTAGCCAGACGCCACACAGTGCAATGGTGTCTGGCTCATGGTTAAGGATGCACCTTCTGACCTATGGGTTTCCAGCACAGCCTTGCGTGTGGCCAACACGGAATTAGCTCTAGTCTCGGTTCACTCCAGTCTACACTGTGAGATTAGGAGCGGGCCCTGGCTGTCTTTTCTGTCAATGGGGAGTCTGCAGCCATGCTTTTTGGAAGGTTTTCCGAAAGATCCAGGGATCGGAAGGACATTTGCTGGGAGGTCACAGAGGACAAGGAGGGACAGAAACACAAGGTGTGGTGCCGGGGGCGGGGCCGCCCTTTACCTCTGTTGACCATAGTGAAGATGGAGTCCTCGGGGATGCCGGCGCCCTGGGCTACTTGCCGGAACTCCTCCATCAGGCTTTCCCGGAGCTGTGGCTGCCGCCCTGCACGGGCAAGCAGAAGACACACCTAGCCCCACAGATGCCAGGCGCCGGCAGGGCCTGAGCTTGCTTTGGTCAGTGATGTCCACTTAGGGCAATTTTGAAACTTTGGGACCAACCAGATCTCTTGGCCATAATTATGGAAAGACAACTCCAGAAAGGAAAAATTTCCCTCCCAGGCTCCCTCCCAGGTCTCCCAACTCCCCACAGAGCCTGTTGTTTTGAAGGGGATCAAGGCTCTGGAATTTTCTGGACCTGCATTTTAGAAATCGAAAGAAGAGGATCAAGCCTCAAATGGAGACCTCTTCCAGGGAGAGTGTTTTCGTCTTTTCTCTAACCGGAGTTTTGTCGAAAGGAGAGAGCCGCACTCCAGCTCTTCCTCTCTCCACTGTCCCTAAATCGCTTTTGACTCCCCCGACCAGCTTTTCTAGGCCCAGGTGTTAACCGTAGAGCTTGGCGGTAATGGTGGTTCCATGGCGGCGGCTGAACTTCTTGGTCAAAAGAATGGCGTATTCGTCATAATTGGTGTGGACCACATAGGACTCCATGGTGATGTTCCACTCTGCAGGGCCACCCCCCGGAAGACAAAGGCATCAGCGGACAGAGGCCCTTCTGGTCTGAGATCCTTCGCCTCCACCCAGCACTCCGTGGATTCCGCCTTCCTGCTTCTGCCACCCGCTCTCCCGCTCTGTCTACTCTCATCTGCAGGAAATTGCCGAGGCAGGGGAACACTTCCTCAAGATTGGGGCTTTAGCCCCGGAGAACCCACAGAGTCTCCTCCGCTCTACTCACTGGATTTGCGATACAGGAACTTCCCGTTGGTGTCTGTCTTCTCATAAGCCCCAGAGATCTCCTCACAGACACCTTTCCTGGAAACAAACCAACCCAAACGCAGGTAGCTTCAGGTGGAGACCCTGGTCCTGGCCGCCCACGCTGGTGCTCACACTCCACTCTCTTGCAGGGTTGTTGCTCATGAAAGGCACCCCAAAACTTAAGAGCAGGAAATAGGCACAGTGCAGGGAGAGCATTGCCTGTGAGGTATGGGTGTGGGCGTGCTCTGGGGGAGGAGAGTGCTGATGTCTGACTCTAAGCACAAGATAGGGGGTCCCAGGCCCTAGCCCCCTTCTCCCCACCTGGCCCAGCCCCCGGGGCTCACCGCCAGCGGGTGCTTGTCATGCTGATCTCTCCCTCAGTGTCGCCCTCTCCTAGCACCAGCGTGCTCACAGTCATCCGGTCCATGAACTTCTTCATCCACTGGCAGGTGGACCCTATGGCCACGTGGAACCATTTCCCATAGATCTAGGGGGAACCACAAGTGCTGGGGCATCTGGACTGGCTTCAGACCTTGAGCAAGCCTTGGGGGGCATCTTCTCCTCTCAATGATGAGCCCTGGTAGGTGACTGTCTTCTAGCTAGTGGGAGGCCACTGGGCTTCCAGGAGGTGGACCCTAGCGGCAGAACCTCAGGAGTCGGAAGAAGAGCAGATGGGGCCCAGCCCGCCTTGCAGAAGGCCTGGCTCCCCAGAGATGGGGATCTGTGCTGCTCACTTGCATGGAACCCCTGCCCTGAGGTGCCCACACAGCAGGAGCTCCATCCCTGTTGACGCCCCTGGGCAGCCCAGCTCCTTCTCAGGGCCCTGAGGCTGATACAGGGCAAGCCTGCTGCCTCTTTCGTGACTAGGAGAGGTGAGAGAGCCTTCCTGTCCCCACAGAGCTGGCCAGTGAGCCCCTTCACCATCCTGGGCCCCCAAGGGCCCTGCGCCTCATTCCCACTCTGCCCACTTTGTCCCCCAAAGTAGACAAGGATCACCCAGCTAGAAGAGAGTTCCTTATATCCACATAGTGTGTGGAACTGAGTAGGATCAGGCCCTGTTCAAGGTCACTCAGCACTTTGGGGCAGAACTGGGGCCAGAAAGCAGTCCTAGGTCTCCCCCTGGGAGAACACAGAGAACCTGCCCCATCCTCCATCCCACCAGCCCTCTGCCCCCCCGCCCTCGTTCTTTTCTCCCCACAATCTCGCAGGCCCGCCCAGGCCACCTAAATCAAGTAGTAAGGAGCTGGGGATGGCCAGGAAGATTCATGAACAGCCCTGTGTGAGGGGTGTCCCCATCAAAGCACGATTCTCCTCAGGGCCTGAGAGTACAGGCTTGCATTGGACGACTTCTGAGTCAGGGAATGTCCCACGGAACAGCAAAAGCATAGAGTTGTGCGTTTGGTGACCCGCAGGCCGATCTGAGCAGAAGGTCCCTCAGAGACCAAGCACCAGAGGCCCAGATAGGGGGACAAGCTCAGGCCGGCAGGACTTGCCTCTGGTTGCATGAACATGGGCCCTCCTCCCCTCCCCCATGCTGCTAGAGATCTTGCCTTACCCTGGAGACGTCGAAGTTCTCCTGCACCTGGATGTCTTCGGATGGCGAGGGCACAGGGTTGGCATTCACCACCAGGCAGGCGGTTAGCAGGAGAAGCAGGGCCCTGAGAGTCTGCATAGCTGTGGCGTGTCACAGGCTCAGCGTGAGGACGGAGGAGCCACCACCTCCCTGCCTGCCCAGCTGTGAACTGAGGCTGGGCGGGGGCCGGGCAGTAGTTTGTACACGACCTTGGTGTTTGTCCTGCTTAGCCGAGCCAATCAGGGCTTCAAGGCTGGGTCAAATCAATCCCAGCTAGTGCCCTGGCCCTCTCAGTGGTTCTGGGGGTTAGGGGGCAGGTTGTTTAGGAGGAGATATTGACCCAGGGCCCAGATGTGGCCAGAGGTTCAGCCCCTAGAAAGTTCTCCTCAGAGACTCCCTTGTCACAGGAGGGCACATGAGGCTGGGACAGATGGACACCCTGGCCTTGCCCGCTGGGCCATTCCACCCAGACCTCACTCCTGTGAGTCAGCAGGGTGAGCCTGATTTGACCCCTTTCTCACAGGAAACTGAGGCCCACAGTGACTTTCCAGAGAACAAAGAGATGTTGGGGATCACTTTCTCTCTCTGAAGTGCACTTCCTGTCTCTGTATACAGAAGATAATAGTCCCTACAGGAGGTCAACTGAGGCAAGACCCGGGTTCCCCCAGGGCCCCTGGCTTCCCACAGCCCTTGTGAATAATTAGCGGATGACAGTGGTCGTGGATTTGCACAAGGCTGCAAATCCATTCACTGAGCCTCTGCTGAACAGAGCTCAATCCCCACAGCCTTGTGGAGTAGGCTCCACAGGGTGGTGGTGGTTGGGGGTGGAGGGAGGGGGGTTGAGTCTATGAAAAGTAAAGGCTTCCCTGAGATCCTCGGCTGGGACATGAGTGCTGGAAAGGGAGACTTTGGTGAGGTTGAGGGCATGGACTCAGAAGCCAGCCGCCTGCTGTGCTGCTTGCTGGTAGTATGGCCTTGGCCAGCGGCTTCACCACTCACTGCCTCAGTTTCCTCATCTGTGATGGGGTTGAATTTCCAGCTTCTTGCATGGTTGTAAGGGATCAAGAGATTAACTCTTGCAAAGCCGTAGGACTGTACCTAGCTCATGGGAAGGAGAAATGTGTGTTTGGAGCAGGTTGAATAGTGTTCCTCAAATTTGGGTGCACCCAGAACCACAGAAAATGACCTTATTTGCAGATGTCATTAGTTGAGATGAACTCATACAGGATGAGGCACGAAATCCAAAGACTGGTGTGTTTATAAGAGAAAGGAGAGGAACCGATGCAGAGACATGGGCCAGACAGCCGGGGGACCTGTCGACAGAGGCTGGAGGAGACAGCTAACCTCGGGGACAGGGAGGACTGCTGTAGTGGGGTGGAGAGGAGCATCTCTTCCCTAGGGCCTTCAGGAGGGATGAGAGCCTGCTGACAAGTTGGCCTCCCCAGAGCTGGAAGAGAATATATTTCTATTGTTTTAAGTCACCCGGTTTATGGCAAGTTGTCAATGGTAGACTTAGAAAACTAATTGGTATTCATTAAATTAAAACTTTTTTAAGATTTATTTATTTGTGCATACAGACCTAGGCTAGGGTACAGCCAGAGGTGCAGGGGAAGTGAGAGGATTCACCAGAGACAGAGTGGGGAGCAGAACAGGCAGATGGACGAAGTACACTGCTGAGGGGAGCGGTGGGCGGGCCGGAGAGGTCTGCCACGCCATGTGGGTCACCTCCAGGGTGGGGATGGAACTCATGCTACAGTGGCTTTAGCTTCTCAGTGCTGTGCTTTAACCCACTGCGCCACCAGGGAGGGCCAAATTAAAAAGTTTTAATGAGAATTTTAAAAGACCCAGGTCTGTTTGTCTCCAAAGTTGAAATGCTTGGCAGTTTACTGTAGGGTCTCTATGGAGTTCTCTTGTCCTGTGGTGAGAGCTGCTGTCCTTCCTTCCTCCCTGCTCTGAACCTGGAGTATTTCATGTACCAGCTGTCCCTCTGCTACAGTTGGGAAAGACCTCTTCAGATAGGAAGGGCTACCTTCCAGTTCAAAGGACTGTTCAAAGAACTCCCCCTGAAAAAGTCAGTGGCATGGGCTCTCCCTGGTGGCACAATGGGTTAGAGCACAGCACTGCAAGTTACCTGCAGCTGCTTCAGTGCAAGTTCGATCCCCTCCCCAGAGGTGACCCACATGGCGCGGCAGACCTCTCCTGACCCACCCGCTGCTCCCCTCAGCAGTGTACTTTGTCGATCTGCCTGTTCTGCTCTCCGCTCTGTCTCTGGTGAATCTTCTCACCACCCTTGCACCTCTGGTCCATACCCCAGTTCTGTATGCATAAATAAATAAGTCTTTTAAAAAAAAGTCAGTGGCACAAACTGTGCATTGCCCTTACACCAACATCAGTAACAAGTGTGTCTATGCTATATGTGTTTCCGTTGTTACTTCCCCGACAGCCTGGCCATCAATGACATGTACTTTTTGCTCTGGCTGCCAGGAAGCTCAGTCATATTTCACATTTAATCACAGCAACCATCTCACTTTAGATTTCTGCCACAATTACTTTCTCTTTATCAGAGGGGAAAAAAAAAGCTTTATGCTTTGTCCTGTGGTGGCAATAAAGAGACAGTCTGAATTAAGAAATGCAGAGAACTGGGAGCCAGAAGCTCTGACTTGTTTTACGTGACTTTGGGGGTGACTTTCCTCCTCTGAAGTCCACTTCCCTCTTCTGTAAACAGCAGATAACGGTGCCTGTTTTTCAAGCGGTCAAGTGAGGCAATGTGTGTGAAGTGCTCGGTGACCTGCTCACTGCTGTCTCTGTGTAGTAAGCTCAGTGTGCCTGCTTTTGGCAAACCCAGACCTGGAGTAAGAATGAGTAAGGAACAGTGAGTCAGTGTAGGCAAAAAGCATCCTACCACATGCCTCTAGAGTACCCCGGTAGCTCAGTGACCTCAGCAATGGATCTCTAGGATCAGAGCTGGGAGCCCACTGAGCTCCCAGGATGTCACAGGGTGCAGGGTCCTCCAGGCCTGATGCCTCATCCAGCCTCAAAGCCTCTCCTGGAGGAGGGGAGTGGCAGGGCAGCTGGGTTGTTGATCTCTTCTGCCTCCAGGGATGTTTGCTCTCCTGAGATTATTAACCAGCACAAACAGGGAAAGCAAACTGCCAAGGCCCACCTGGACTTTGAACAACTATTTAAAAATTAACCCCAAGCTGCAAGGCCACAGTGGTCAGGGGGTGTTGACCCCTCTTCTGCTGGCCATCGGGTGGGAAGAGACAAGCTCTGGGGTTCTTGTCTCTTAGGGGACCCCCATAGCCAAGAGTTCACAGCCATTGGGCAGGCTCTGGAACCATTTCAACGGGGAAGAGGTTCTACCTGCGAGGGTCGAACTGTAGAACCTCCAAGGTGCAGATAGGGGACACAGGCCCAATAGACAGACTGGGTCTCAGGGAGGCCATGGACCTTGTTCGAGGTCAGCCAGTTGTGACTGAGCTGGGGGTCTGACCTGCCTGACCCCAGCGCCCCATTATTTATTCATTTGTTTACTTTTTCACACAACACCCACTCCATACAGGAACATGTCAGACCTCTCTTCTCATCCAGGGGCAGGGCAGTAAGGAGAAGATGACTCGAGAGGTGACACCACAGTGATGGGGGGTCAGGGGAGTTTGCCAGTGGGGGCACATTGGGGGAGCATGGTGTTCCAGACAGAGGGCCAGCAACAGAACCATAGGTCTGGAGCCCGGGGACGGGAGGGGAGGCTGAGGCCCAGAAGGCGGTGCCAGGCTGAGGCAGCTTATCTGGAGGGTATAGACAGCGCAGGGCACTTGCACAAATCAGGTCAGATCTGTGATGGGCAGAGATCAGTGAGGAGATGGCAGCTGTGGAAGGCATTCTCCAGCAGGTTGTCTGGGAAGAAGTAAGAGGTCGGGTGTTGGGACCTGGCGACTGTCCAGCCAGGACGTCAAGGACATCGGGCAGAAGAGGATACCAGGGCGACTTTTTTCTCCCTCCATGCACTGGAGTTCCAGTCCTCATGACTTGCTGGGTGACCGTGGGGCCATCCCTTCCCTCTCGCCTTCCTCACCCAGACCTGCAAATGAGGATAACAGCTCACTTAGGGCTGAGACAAGAACTAAGTGAGGAGTATTTATGAGCATTTGGGTAAAATGCTTCCAAAGCACACACACTGCAGGGACTCACGCCTCCCAGGCCCTAAGCCCTGCTAGGGGTACAGGGAAGGACTGTACTTGGCAGGAATTTTGCAGCCAGAAGGTGTGAGGGCCTGTGTCCAGCAGGGGGCAGCAGAGAATGGCTAAAAGTAGACCATCAACCCCGATTTGCTCAGAAGGCTCTGACCAGACCAGGAGCCCCCATGGAGGCCAGCACGGAAGGCCATAGAAAGGGCAGAACCAGGACCAGAACCTTCCTTGCCACAAGCCTACTTAAAATCCCCTGGTGAGTAGGAAACACTCAGCTTCTACCCTGCCTACCCCACCCCAGCTAACTTGGTACTATAAAAGTTCTCCAGGGCATTCCACAGGTGAACCAGAGTGGGGTGTTCTTGCTGTAACCACAGGGCTGCTGTGTTCTGAGCAGCCACTTAAGTTCCTAGGATGTGCCTGGATGCATGCTGAGCACTCCACAGGTACAACTGTCTGAATCTGCCCATGAGGGTGCCCTCATTTTACTCCAAAGGTAGCCCTATTCTGTGGAGAGAGAAACTGAGGCTGAGAGATCAAGTGACACAGGGAGTAGCAATCCAAATTCAGGCCTGTCTCTCTGAGGACGGCAGAGTCACTCACTGACCGCCCAGACCTGTCCCAGGGGAACCTCAGGTGTGGCTCACAGATGCTGCAGCAGCAGGTGGGTTTCGGCTTACCTGAGCTGCTGCCTCCCTCCCCAGCCAAGAGGGCGCAGTGTCAGCCATGGGTGACCTGGCCCTTCTCCCCAGGAATGTTGTGCTGGGTGCAGAATGGGTGCCCAGTCAGCCCTTGCTAATCACTCATCATCATAGGGACCGGGCATCAGCTCTGACCCCATGGACCACCCAGCTGGGGAACCACTGAGGGAGACAGGCAGTTGGGATCACCTGCTGGAGCCCAGTGAGCT